ATTAAGATCAGATATCCAAACACCGTCACGGTCATGATTTTCTTTGTTTAAACTTGGTGAATGAGTTTGCTTGTCATTGGGGAAACCGGCCAAGCATGATGTTTTGATGTTCCGCCAACTTCTCAAAGCCATCATTGTAAGACATGCCTGTTAATGAGTGGGAGAATTAATATTTCGATCTGGGACTGAAAAGGTTAACCAGTCGTACTTATTTTCATTTTATTGTCACTACAACCAAGATAGTGGTACCCATTTAGGGGTTTGCTCTTTTGATTTTTCAGCACTCCGGGTTAAAACTCAGAAAATAAAAACAATAGCAGATTTGCCCGTTGTCGTCATTTCACTACAACTACCAGAATTCGTTTCGTTTTCTCTTTATTATCTACATTTTGAATTCCCAGTGTGGTTTAAATAATAATTGTCCTAATTAACATACGAAACAGAAAAAAGTCAAGGATTCTGGTATAGTTGTAGTCAAATGACGCCATCATGCAAATCGCGTATCGCTAAGTATTTAATTTATAACCATGAACATATATTTACTGAGATGAATTTCACTTTACGCAGTGAAAAGCACTTTAACACAAGAAAATTTGAAAAATTGTCGTAAATGATTTATTTTTTGGAGTCTAAATGATTTGCTACTTGACACGCTAGTTGTTAAAACTCCAGACCTAAATGTAGAGGGTTGGGGAGAGTGGGGTACTTTTTTCCTACCACGGCATCTCAAAAGTGCCTAAACTACCGCTAAGGTCATCCGTGCTGGCTAAAACTAAACATATGCACTAATTATTTTTAACAAAGTTAACTTATGTCAGTCTATTTCAGTTTCCACCTATATCCCTACGAGTTAAAAAAAAGTTAACTTTAAGCTGTATTTCTAGAAACCAGGGCAGAAACTGCTACGACTGTTTTCACTTTACCGTATTGACGGAAAACACAGATGGCCGCTACACCTCAGTTTAAATAATGTCTTTTTAAAAACGGTTTTCAAACTTGCTTTATATTTTAAATCTTGTTTCACCAAATAGAGTCAAGAATTCAACTGAATAAACAAAACTGAACATACTTCTGGTTTGACGTACAACAGACTCACTTTATCTTCTTTTCTTGTCAACGAAAAGCAAAATACCTTTTAAGACAAAATGGTCGTGCTTGCAGTCAAAACCCTCGACCAGCACCAATGCATTAAGTTTGAAAAAGCCAATGACTTGGAAATGATGCTACATTCAATTCTGCAAGAACGGGAGCTGTTTGTTGGTAAAAATGATTTGATAACTGCACACCTGAAACAGACAGAAATATAGAATGACAAACTTGAGTTTCTTTCACTAAGCGAGGCTTATAGTTGTAAGCTATTCGGACTGAGGTAGGAGGAGGGGATAGATCCCTCTTCCCCGCCGTTCGACATACAGAAAAAAAAAGTCTGAATAGGAGTAAGTACGCATGTAGTACTTGGCTAAAGTCTAGTTTAAGTCCGCTTAAGGGCCCCTGCCACATCAGCATCTATTTCCTTCTTCCGGGTAGAAGTATCTATTTCTTGCCTCTTGGCTTCCATGTTTCCAACGTAGTTTCCGAACTCAGATTTCTTCAGCACATGATATTCTAGGAGAGCACCAATTTTGCTCAGGGCTGATTGAGTGACATTCTTATACTCAGGAAACAGTTGAAGATGGTTCCACAAAAACGGAAGCAGTTTTTTGAACTCCCTGTCACGAACAGAATTATCAACAGCACTTCTGCTTTGCCCAAGAAGGTACATGAAGTGTCCACTATCTCCTTCAATCTCTTTAAGCCTCTTATATAGCTGATTGTAATTGCTGCCATCATCTTGAAATTGCCGTTTTGCCGGAAACACCACGGATGTACTATCCACAGTATTGCTATCCTTGTCAACAGGCTCACTAGCAAGCAGTTGGCTTGCGTTGGGGAAGGCACCAGGTATTTCCCAGAGACCGGCCTCCGACCGAAGTGATTCACATCCCTGTTTTGTGCTTATGACCACAAGGTAACACAAACAACGCGAAATTGCAGTGTACAAAAGCTCCCTTGTTTTCCCCCCAGCACTATAAGGAGGATCGTACAGAATCACGACCTTTGATTCAAGTCCTTTGAACCGTCTTATGCTCTCAACAACAACTTTGTTGTTGTTAATTTTGTTGCCGTAAAGTTCCTCTGCATTCTGGCATTCAATCCCGACTTCTTCAAGATTTGGAATAAGCTTGTTGCTCGTTTCTTGGTTTTTAGCGAGAACACAGATGTCTCTGTTCTGCACATCATTTCTCTTCAAGTATTTAACGTGTTTCACAATGGAATGTCCTCGATTTGTGTCACTGGTTGTCTCTTCGCTTTGTAAGGACTCATCCCATTCGATTTCCAATCCAACCTCCCGGTGGTAGACTCCCACAGGGATCGACGTCTCCAAACGTGGCTCAAAATACTTGTTAACTTGTGAAAACACGTTCTTGGTGTTTCTTAGAATCTTATGTAATCTAAGACTGTTTCTCAGGTCAACTGAATAACTGGGCAAAGTCTTCTCTTTTGACAAGTGAAGGTGCTGATTTGAATCATAAAACACCCAGAAGTACCTTGGGTCGAAGTCGTCATCCTCAACAGCTGCGCGCCCAGAGGAACTTTTGTGCATCATTTTAAGAAGACTTGGCCACTGGGGATGGTACAAGTCTTGGCCCTCATCCACAAAAATATGATCATAGGTGTGTTTGAAAGTCGAGGATGTATCCCGCTGCAGGTTCTCCAATGCCATTGCAACACGATTCTCTTCATCTCCTATTCCAAATGACCCATTGATGTCCTTCAGAATTTTTTCAAACGTCTTGACATCGACAACGGAACGGGGCTTTTCGCCTTGGTCTTGCTCTTGAATATCGTAAACGACTTTCAGTTCGCGCTCAATCGTTCGCCCGATCTTTAGCGACAAAGGCTTATTGTAGCACACAACTAGAATCTTCTGATCCAGGGCATCAGAAATAATATTCTTAGCCAAACGGACCACTTTATCCATCAGAAGGCAGGTCTTTCCGCTCCCTGCTGGTCCAACGATCCACCTATCTGGACTGGAGTCAAGGTGCACCTTCAACTGCTCTTTGGTGTTGATTGTGAGAGCGTTAAAAGAGTCATCAATGCTGTGGCGAGAGGCCAAGCAACGACTAACAAGGACCAAACCAACAAATCTGCAATTTAAAGACCAAAATTTAATTTCTTTCNGCAAAAAGCAGTACAAGAGGCCGAAAAATCTTAATTCGACGATACGAATTGATATGCAACCTGACAGTGCTGTAGGATGGATAAATATTAACCTATTGATAGACCCCACGGACAACTTACCACAATGGCTTATGTTGTTATTCCTCTACACATTTCACCGCCTCTTTATAAAATTAGGTCGTCATAAAAGACCAAAATTTAATTTCTTTCCACTTCCGCACAAAACTGAACTTGATTTCATCCTTCGTTTGAAATTGGCACTCTTCAAAAGAAACTCAGTATACAGGTTTCTATAGATACATTTTGTGTTCCACAATTTAACTAGTCACCTGTAACAAGCAGTAAAACGGAAACAGAAGTTGCCCCTTGTGGTATGCTTTGAAAAACATTAGGCAGCCACAATTATCTGCGCGCTCAACAACATACATGTACGGCAGAAATTATTGATGCTGCACTCATCACGACTGGCAAACAATGTTGCCTTGGCGAACTCTTTTTTAGCCTCCGTCCCGGATGAGGCTTAGGTATTTCATACACGTTTACGGGGAGGGGATGCGGTAATATACAGGGAGGCTTGATAGAGAACTAGAGCGGCGAAACGCTAGCCCAGCTACTTGATCAACAAAGTGTGTGTTTGTAAATTTACGCCCAAATTGCTACGATAAGAATGCAGCCTAAATAGTCTAATTTTGTTGTTTTAGTTGTACACAAAAAGGGAAAAGGGGAGAGGGGGTGGGCTTGGTCAATTTCGTGCTTCAGAAAGGGGGGTATTATAGAAGGGGGGTAGCTTGAGTGAGGGCTCAATAGAGAATTCACGGGCGACGGTATCTGGAGAACGATGAAACAAGCAAGTCTTTTGGCAGCATTTGCTAGGATTAAGGCTCAAGGACAATATCTTTAGAACAAGAAAGCTCACCGTGTGACCAGCAAGTTAAACAACTCTTCCTTGACGACATCTTCAACTGCATCTTTTTCACCCTGCTCTCGACATCCGATGCTTTTGTCCCACCAATCCGAAAATGCTTCTACGCTGACGCAATCTTCTTGGAATATGCCATCTGCATGTGTACTTGCAGAGGAAGCAGGCCGTGGACAGTTAGGCATTGCAACGAAACCTGGAAATCCAGAAAAGAGCTTATCGACATCTCTTCCGGTTATTTTCTTGTTTTTGATTCCCACCTCTTGGAAGTAAAACTTCATAGCGTCACGATCTTTGTCTATTTGTTTCTGTGCCTTTCCATACGTTTTGGCAGTCTTTGCCGAAGCCTTCACCTGAAAAAACACAAAACCAGCGAGGCGATGGACAAGAACAAAGTCGTGCTCTCCTATGTTCCATTTCTTAGAAGACACTGACTTAGACTTCACCTCAGAAATCCTTTCCTTAAAATTGTAGGAATGCACCACAAACATTGGCTCCTTCCTACGTTCTCCAAAAGATTTTAATAGATTAAAGAGAATTTTCTCCGCCTTTTCACCATCATTTCCTTGTTTATGCAGTTCTTCTGGTATCATGTGCGTAGTCTTTGGCTGCCTCCAGTCTGGATATTCATCATCCAAGCTTTTTTCAATCTCAGTGTCCCACTCTCTCTTGCCATCGTCAGCCAGATCTCTCTGTCCACGGCTGATAACATGGCCAATCATTTCCTTCGACTGTTGGTATTAACTAAAGAAAAAAAGACAACTACCATTCAGTTAGTCTGTTCAAGATTCCAGACTGATTCTTGGTGACAGTAGAATGGGCGGATGGATGCATGGCGTTTCAGTCGTTCTTAAATTTGGCCAGTATCTCAGACTTAAAGCCAGTCCTTATTCATTGGGTTGGAGGTATGGAAGCCTAAAGGTTAAGGCGCTGGCCTCCAGGTCCACGCCCTGGCCAGGGTCATTGAATTTCGTTCTTATGCAAGACACTTTACTCTCACAGTGCCTCTCTCCACCTGTGTGTATATATGGGTAACCTTGGAGGTGAGCCTGAAATGGACTAGCATCCCATACAAGGGAAAGTAAATACTCCTTGTCACTAATAAATAAGATGCTCTGGAGACTGAGATAAGCTCCGGAGCCTAAAATGCGATCATGTTCTAGTTGTTCTTCTCAATTTATATATTAATCATTATCAATTAAACTTTTTTTTTTTGGCAAAGTTAGAATGAAGTTCCTGTTGGTAGTAAAAGGGTTTTAGGTAACAATACAGGAACATATATGGCCATGTGACATTGAAATAGAGCTTAATTGCACCGATACTAGCTCCTGTCTACATGAAGATTAATGTTAGTAGATCTACAAAGTAGAGAAGTTATCTTAGATTCAATAGCCCTTTTCGCGGTTAATTTTTCTCATTTGCATTACAATGTAATCCAATGTGGATGTGAGGCAATTTCGGGCTAAAACTACAAAATAACCC